CTCCGGGAGGTAGGGGCGGCAGCGGCAGATATACAGCAGGGCGAGCAGGGCTGGCGCGGGGCCCGGGACAGCCGCCCCACTCGCCCTGCCTTATATCCGCCGCTGTTTTTAAAAGCAGGTTAGACAGACAGGGATAATCTAGATGGGATAATCTAGATGGTGCTTGGACCTGCCATGAGTGCAGAGGATGGGACTTGATGACCTTTCCATCCCTTCCAGTCCTTTGATTCTATTAAATACCATATGATGGGTCTGGGGAAGGGAGGGAAGGTGCCGCTCCAGCTGACATGAGGCTCCTCTGGGCAGGTGGGGGATGGAACTGCAGGCATCCTCTGGACAAGTTAAGGGCACCGCTGGACAGGTGGGGGTTGGAGCTGTGACCAATCAGGGAATCCTGTGCCTGATGGGTGGTGCTCATGGTTTCTCTTGGCATGGGCGGCGGGGGAGGGTGTACCTTGTGGCTTTGTCTGAGGGAGGGGGCAAGGGCCCTCATTGATTGTGCTGTCCTGCCGCCCAGAATTCCCATCAGTGGGTCTGAGCACTGTGCATGTGCAGCGTTGTAATGCAAACTAGACTGTTGTTTCACTGTGGAACTGGCTGAGGAAAGGTTCTGTGGGTAGAATACAGAAATCTCCATTTTCATGGCTACATGCACCACAGCTAGGAGTCCTTACACTCAGCTCCAAAGGTTAACACATCAACATATAAACCTTGTCTGACTCAGATCTCTTACTCCTAAAAAGAGTTTGCCTTATTGAAGTCATTTGTAAAAGTCTTTGACTTCATTAAGGTCAGGATTTCACCCCTATAGGCTAAGATGATCCATCATGGGATGGCATTATGTATTAGTGTACTCTTTACATTTACAACTAAGGATTATTATACTTGGGTCACTAAATAGTTAGATGTGGGTTACCAAAATTTGTAACTTAAGAGGATTAAAATTGATTTAACTAGAAATCTCTTGACCTTTGGATCCATTTTTGCAATGCAAAGAACCACTGCCCTTTTAGTATAGTTCCTGGAACAGAAAGTGTCTTTGAACACAGTCAATAAGCTAATCTTTTTTTCTGACAAGCTTTCCTATTTTAAAAAAATAAGATTTACAGTTACAAATTTTTCACTGTAAATCAATACAGCCTCTCCCCGAGTTACAAACGAGTTACGGACCAAACACTTGGTTGTAACTCAATTTGTTCGTAACTCGGACCCCATTGAGTTACATAGCAACTGCGCTGTTCTTAAGCGCGGGTTGTGTTCGTAACTCGGGGATCGCCTTTACAACTGCTCCATGGGAACTTTGTTCGTAAATGTGAACGGTTGTAACTCGACCATTCGCAACTCAGGGAAGGGCTGTACACAGCTGCTCCCTGGTAAATCTGCCTTTTCTGACCCAAATTCAGAATGATGGCAGATGCTTCTGATCTTCACACGGTGAGGGAGGGTGTATCTGTATGTACGGCTGACAAATATCTGGTGGCTTTATATGTTTTTTGGATAGTAATAGAAAAAAATAGTTAATCATTTCAAATATTTTTTGTATATGCACATTATCACTATTTCATTATTCCCAAGGAAAAGAAAACATTAATAGGAAAAAAGCAATCATGTGAAGAGAAGCTTCTGGAGATATCATCAAATTCTGAAGATACTAAGAGGTGAGCATGAAGAAATGCTTTTTCTGTTCAACAGGATTATTTCAAGTGACGTACCTAACAATAACTTGGCTAAGTTCTTCCAAGTAGGGTGTATATACGTGGTATTAGGCCTAATGCCCTCACTGTCTTTACATTTTAAAGTAAAATATTAAGCTTTCCTGTGGCATGATCAGTAGGTTTTCCAGATCTGGGTTTATTTAGAGAATAAATACTGCTACTATAACATGTGAAGGCACACAATCAGATCTTGCTGTCCTTACTCTGGAAAAACCCTTAGTTCAATTAACAGGAAATCTGAATAAAAACAAATTACAGATTGGCCTTCAGAGAGGAAACCATTCTATCCATCTCAGCCCCCATCCTGTTAAACAACATTAATATCTTAATGCTTCTGGGGGGCCTCTCACAAACAGTACGTTTTATTAATTTTCTGTCTTAAATACAGTGCAATTTCCTCTGAAGCCTACCTTCCTCCCTAGCTCAAAACCTGAGCTCCAGCCAAAGTTGCAATTTCAAAGCACTGTCAATGTAGCTAGCTCAAACCTAAATCTGTTAGTCCAGGCTGGGAGACTTATTGCCAAGGCTGTGTAGACGTACCCATGCTATACTGCCAAAGTAGTGGTACACTGTCTTCCATGATGCACTCTTGAAGAATTACTCCACTATATTATGCTCAAACTTTATTCTTCCAGTATGAAGCATGAATGGAGCCATTTTTCCTATAATTTAATATAGTCATTACAGATAATATAAGAAATCAATTACAACTTTTCCCTCTTTATATCTGATTACGTTTATTAACCATGAATTAAATTAGTTCACGTACAGCTGATGAGTCGAAGCTGAAACAATGAGTTGGAATCCCATGGAAATGGTCACTAAAGGAAGCTTAATGCCTATATTTATAATTCATATATAAATACAACTTTGGCCAAAACCAAAAGATTAGTGGTTGGATAGCTAGTTTGTATATTCTTGTCTTAGAGAACGTAAGTCAGGCCATTTATTAGGTCCTATGAGAATAATATATACCTTCAATAACAGTTGAAAAAGTTACCGGTAATTTGTCTTCCTCACCAGCTATCTTGATCTTCTGATGGAGATTTCCACTCTACGAGAGCAGATTTCTCACTTGCAACATGTGATCCAGATGCAGCATCAAAGCCTACGCAGTGCGATACAAGAGGTCAGATTAATCAAGTGCTCTTAGTGTTCAGGGAACAAACATAAGACACTTGTTTTAGTGCTTCCCTCATTTTGTGAAGTTTATTATTTATGTCTCCATCTCAGGACATGTATCAACAGTTAGAAATAGATTTTATGTAATATTTTATATATAATGGAAAAGTGACATAACATTAAAATGGTGGGAATGGAAATTCTATCACCCAGGGTGACAGTTTGAAATAGAATGCTTCAAGGGAGGAAGGAAGGGTTTTGTTTCCTGCAAGCGTGATGGAAGGCTTGAAGTAGCTGCCCAGGTAGCATAAGAAAATAGGCCTTTACCATAGGGACTACATCAGGAGCTGCTGAATCCCCAACCAATTTAAGGTACTTTAGGAATATCCCTAATATGTGGAGTGTGACAGACCATGGATACTCAATCACTGGGACATGGCTTAATGTAGCTTCCGAAATAGAGTTTGAGTAGCTACTGCTGCAGAGGCAGCAATGAATACAAGTGTATGTTTCACAAAATGATCTGCCTTTTTATGGGGAACATTGAATTTCTAATAATGCTTTGTTGCTGCAGTTTGACACTGTGTAACATTCAATAAAATAAACAGGTGTCTAGAAATCTATAAACTGTCTCACTAGAGGCTCAAATCCTGCTTGCCAGGTGTAATCCTAGTGAAGCAAAATATTTGGTCCCAGATAAAGTGGGAACAAAATTTGAAGCCATTTATGACTTGACATTTCTTTTAAAGAGGGAACTAATATGAGCTGTTTTCATAAGTATTATTTTGAGCTCAGCTAAACTATTTGTGCAAAATGTAATTCACATTTTGTGAATTCTCATAAGATTCAAGCATCTCTCATCAGCCTTAGATAGTTTAGCCCAAGAAAGCTTCAAGTGGGGAATAGATGTGTGTTTTACGAATGAAGAAGGCAAATGTGTTACCCTAAGTGGAAGTGTGACTTCATTCTTTGGTTTTTTTTTAAGACAGCCAGCCATGTCATCACACTTTCTCTAGAGCATTTTCTTTATCATTTAGACTTCATAGAATACCAGGACTAGAAGGGACCTCAAGAGGTCATCAAGTCCAGTTCCCTGCCCTCATGGCAGGACCCAGTACTGACTAGGCCATCCCTGATAGACATTTATCTAACCTACTCTTAATATCTCCACAGATATTCCACAACCTCGCTAGGCAATTTATTCCAAAGTTTAACCACCCTGACAGTTAGGAACATTTTCCTAATGTTCAACCTAAACCTCCCTTACTGCAGTTTAAGCCCATTGCTTTTTGTTCTATCCTCACAGGCCTCTTTGTGACACCCTTTTAGATACGTGCCCCTGCTCCATTCCTTCTCCAAGGCCTCACCCTGCTCACTTCATCCCCTTCCTCACTCACTTTCACCAGACTGGGGTATGGAGTTGAGGAGCAGGCTCTGGTCTTGGGGCAGTGGAAGCTGTAGGCTCAGTGCTGGTAGATGAGGGGCAGCATATGGCGACAAGGAACCATTACTATACGTGCCAGTTGCTTTCAGGAGTGGTGCAGGGCCAGGGCAAGAGTAAGCCTGACTTAGCTCCACTGGTCTACCACCCTGCACTTAAACTCCTTCCCACAGCTTACACCCTGAAACCACTCTGGGATCTCAGTCCTCTTCCCTGGGCTAAGCCTGGAGCCCCTCCCAGAAGCCAAGGAGAAATGTTTTTCTCCATCCTCCTTATAACACTATTTTAGATACTTGAAAACTGCTAGCATGTCCCCTCTCAGGTTTCTCTTCTATAACCCCACTTGTTATACCTTTCCAGCAGGATTGTGAACCGTTAATAACTACTCTCTGAGAACAGTTATCCAGCCAGTTATGCACCCACCTTAAGAATATCATGCGAGACCGTATCAAATGCCTTACTAAAGTCTAGGTATATGACATCCACCGCTTCTCCCTTATCCACAAGGCTCGTTATCTTATCAAAGAAAGCTATCAGATTAGTTTGGCATGACTTGTTCTTCACAAACCCATGCTGGCTATTCCCTATCACTTTATTACCTTCCAAGTGTTTGCATATGATTTCCTTAATTACCTGCTCCATTATCTTCCCTGGGACAGACGTTAAACTGACCGGTCTGTAGTTTCCTGGGTTGTTCTTATTCCCCTTTTTATAGATGGGCACAATATTTGCCCTTTTCCAGTCTTCTGGAATCTCCCGTCTGCCATGATTTTTCAAAGATCATAGCTAAAGGCTCAGGTACCTCCTCTATCAGCTCCTTGAGTATCCTGGGATGCATTTCATCAGGACCTGGTGACTTGCTGACATCTAACTTTCCTACGTGATTTTTAACTTGTTCTTTGTGTATCCTATCTTCTAAACTTACCCTCTCTCTGCTTGTATTCACTACGTTAGGCACACCTCCAGACTTCTCGGTGAAGACCGAAACAAAGAAGTCATTGAGCATCTCCGCCATTTCCAAGTTTCCTGTTACTGCTTCTCCCTCCTCACTAAGCAGTGGGCCTACCCTGTCCTTGGTCTTCCTCTTGCTTTTAATGTATTTATAAAAGGTCTTCTTGTTTCCCTTTATGCCTGTAGCTAGTTTGATCTCATTTTGTGCCTTTGCCTTTCTAATCTTGCCCCTGCATTCCCGTGTTGCTTGCCTATATTCATCCTTTGTTAGTTGTCCTAGTTTCCATTTTTCATATGACTCCTTTTTTATTTTGAAATCATGCAAGATCTCCTTGTTAAGCCAAGCTGGTCTTTTGCCATATTTTCTATTTTTCCTACACAGCGGAATTGTTTGCCTTTGGGCCCTTAACAACGTCCCTTTGAAATACTTCCAACCCTCTTCAGTTGTTTTCCCCCTCCGTCTTGCTTCCCATGGGACCTTACCTACCAGATCTCTGAACTTACCAAAATCTGCCTTCCTGAAATCCATTGTCTCTAATTTGCTGTTCAACCTTCTACCATACCTTAGAATCATGAACTTTATGATTTCATGATCACTTTCACCTAAGGTGCCTTCCACTTTCAAATTCTCAACCAGTTCCTCCCTATTTGATAAAATCAAATCTAGAACAGATTCCCCCCTACTAGCTTTTTCAACCTTCTGAAATAAAAAGTTGTCTTCAATACAGTCCAAGAACTTGGATAGTCTGTCCCGCTGTGTTAGTTTCCCAACATACATCTGGATAGTTCAAATACCCCATCACCACCAAATCCTGTGCTTTGGATAATTTTGTTGGTTGTTTAAAAAAAGTCTCATCCACCTCTTCCGCCTGGGTAGGTGGCCTGTAGTAGACCCCTAGCATGACATCACCCTTGTTTTTTACCCCTTTTAGCCTAACGCAGAGACTCTCAGCACGTCCGTCTCCTATGTCCATCTCTACCTCAGTCCAAGAGTGTTCATTTTTAATATATAAGGCAACACCTTCTCCCTTTTATCCCCGCCTGTCCTTCCTGAGTAAGCTGTACCCTTCTATACCGATATTCCAATCGTGTGTATTATCCCACCGAGTCTCTGTGATGCCAACAATGTCATAGTTGTATTTATTTATTAGCACTTCTAGTTCTTCCTGCTTATTATCCATATTTCTTGCATTTGTATATAAGCATCTAAGATCCTGATTTGATCTTGCCTCCCAATTCTGCCTTGTCCCTTCTTTCTCTGCTAATATAGCCCACACTCCCTCCCATTTCCAACCCATCTTCCAGGTTTCCATGTTCTTCACTTACCTGTAGGCTTTGGTCACCTGTCCCCGTTGAACCTAGTTTAAAAGTTCAGACTATATTTACTTTCTTAATCCCCATGCTTATTTCCCCTCTATTTAAAGTGTATCTAATATATTCTAGGTTGAATGTCTTTAATCCAGAACTCTCTCATCCAGACACATCCGTCGTCCAGAATGATTTTAGTTAGCTAGATGTCCACTTTTCATGGGTGTGACAAATTTCCCGTGATCCCATAAAGTTTGTTTACAGCCACCAGTCTTTGCTCTCAGTGTTCTGTGCTGTTATTTAGCTCTAATTTACCCCTAAATGTCTTCTAAGAGCACAGTAAACAGGGAAAGTGTTGGTAATGCTGCGAGATAATACTGACTTCCCGTGGTCCAGAAAATTCTCTCATTTGGAACCGGTCAGGTCCTGAGGGTTCCAGTCTAGAGAGGTTCAACCTGTACAAGATTGGAAAACCATTGCTAACTTTACTTTCTAACTCTTAGATCGAAGAACTGAACAGCGAACTACAAAACCAAGATAAACAAATTAAGATTATGGAAGAAAAGATAAATGTGCTTGAAGCTCAGGTAAAGGGAAAGGTGATATCCTAACAAATTCTACAATTGTGAGCCCAAAACTATTTAAAATCTGCATAGTTTTGAGTCTTTTTTTTCTTGCCTAAGTACTCATCAAGAAATTTATATCTTCTACAGCCAACTGTATGGTACAGTAAGATTCTTTAAACTTTTTTCTATGGACAGAGAAGTGGGAATATTTAGTATAGTGCAGGTGAGTTTTTCAAAAGCACTAGCAAAGATCAAGCTCTGCTACTGAGTAAAACAGTACATTTCATCAAATCTGGAATGCTTTTGGGGTCTCTCACTTCATATATCCCTAGAACTATTTCTATTCATATACAGGACTGGTAAGTTTGGAAGGAAAAACGTCAAAACTGCTAGTTTCTGTTTAAAAATTATTACTTGCACTACCTGCCAGGCACTTTCCAAATATGTGCCTACCCCAAAGTGCACCACCTGAGAACACAATCAATGTGTAAAGATATTAAGGTGAGAGAAGAAAGAATAATCACTTTTTTGTACCCACTTTCCTCAGCCACCCTTCTGCTTAATGTTAATTCTTTGTAGGTCACAGGCTGGAAGTGGGTTTTGCATTTCATAGGGACTGAAGGGAAGCAATGTGTATTTGGGAATGACTAGAGAGGAGGAGGCTGCAGATATGAAATGAATGCCTGAATGAAAATTGTAACAGTAAGAATATAATCGAGGCCCTGATCCTACAAACACCTACACAGCAAACCTTGCACCCACATGAAGTGAAGTACGTGTGTAAATATTCTCAGCATTGGTCCTATCAAAATGTGCATATTTGGCTTTTCTAACGCCTCTTGCTCACTTTCAGCTTCTGAGGAAATACTAAGGCTTGGTAGTTTGGAAACCATTAGGCTATAGTGAAGAACTGTGCATTCTTTCAACATAATTATCCCTTATTATTATTATTATTATTATTAGACAATCTTTCTATTAAATGGCCACCGTTTGTCTGTCTGTTATGGGATTTTCAGTTTTCAGACGTACATGCATATACATATACAAACATATGGGTGTGCATTGTATTTGTATTGCAAGAGTTAGAAAGGCTTCTGCAAAGTTCTGGAGTGCCTTAGGGAATAGAGAATTTACCTGGGGAGCACAGGGTGGTATGTATAAGACCAGCCACTCTGGGAACAGCTGGAGGCTTGAACATCTTGCTCTTCGGTGATCTCCTTCAACTTCCATCAATATCAGCCAGTCCCATTTATAAGCAACCTGTTTTAGTTAGACCCGCTGTGCATCTCTGGTGCCTCTTTCGCTTTTGTGAATTGACTGAAAACATGTGACAGTGAGGGGATACAACATTTATCGACATTTTAAATAATCTTCCAGAGGAAAAACTCCCACGAGAACAACTACATATTTTGCTGCGTAAATGTGAAGAAAGCAAACAACAAGGCGACTTTTCACCCAGAAAAGTTTGAGAATCATGCTGACTTGTAAAATGGTAGATGATCACAATAATCAAGTTTTGTCCAGTTTAGACCATGCAAACTGCCAAATGTTCACAATCACAGTGCAAGATATGCTCATTGAGCAGAGAAGACGAGTGCCTAACCTTTATCAAGCTAGCCCCCAAAGATTACCGTAATTGAATGGCAGGCATTCCAAAGAGAATTGGAATGCATCTGGGTGCTAAAGTTATACTTCAGTACAATGTTGACCAAGCAAAAGGTGTAGTCAATGGCAAAATTGGCACCATCATCAATATAATATAGCCCTACTTCTGCTGCAACAAAATTCACTAAACCAATATCCCTAAAGTTGAAATTGAATTCAAAAGCAATGTCAGAAAGCACATCATCGAGCCAATCACATGTCAGTTTCAACCAAATTTTGGATACTGCTTGGTGGAGCGGTGAATGCTTCCAATCATCCACGCTTATGCTGTCAGTGTCCACAAATTACAAGGGACCACGGTAGAAAGAGCAGTTGTGTACCTTAGCTCTCAATACTCTGCACCAGCTCAACCATTTGTGCCTCTCACTCGAGTACGTTCTTTAGGTGTAGAGATCGACAAAATCGATCCAAACAAATTAATGGGCGACAATGTTTGTCATAAAGACACCTTAGAAGAATTACAGCATCTTCAAAGCCTTCCTCCTTTTCACCAACAAAACAATTGATCAATCACCTCCATTACTTTATCGTTGCCTTACACACAACTATTTTTCATTACAAATGTAAATACTTAGTGCAAAAACATTTTGTAAAAAAATCTAGCTCAAAATATAGAAGCATATCAAAATGAACCTTGGAGTTTTTATTACTTGAAACACACTAGATTTAAGACCAAAAAGACAAAAATTATAAACTTTTAAAAAAGACAATCTTTCTAAAAGCGCACCAAAAGACTAAAAATAATAAAAAAAGTGCACCAAAAAGTCAAAAATAAAATTTTAAGCTGGCAATTTAGGACAAAGATTGGATAGCTAACAATTAGTAACTAGCTTGAATCGTACTTAGCCATCCAATATTTCTCTTAAATTGCTAGCTTAAAACTTTTATTTTTCACTTTTTGGTGCACTTTTAGAAAGATTCTTTTTTAAAAGTTCATTATATATATTTTTTTCCAGGATTGCATACAAACTAGTATCTTGTCAATTCTACATAGTAATCAGTAGCAATATTGTTGTTTGTTTTTGTGTAGAGTTTTGGCAGCATTTTATAGTTTATAAGAATCTTGTATAATGAAGAATTGCAGCAAAATAGTTCCTGACATCCCATTGTAAACACTAGTCTATAATCCTGGAATTTACATTAACATTAGTACATTAACTGTATCACAAATAAAATGCTTTTCTGCTATTCAGAATCTCAATTTCAGTCATAGCAAATCCAGTGAATTCATTCGAATTCAAGTATTGTGGGGGATTATATGCAATACATCCATATACAGTAAAACATATATTTGTTATATTAATTATAATTCTCATTATATAGAACTACACATCTTCAAAATGACTTGTAGAGGCTAATCAATTTTACAGCATCCCAGCTAGATACTGTATATAAGGCCATCCCTGTCCTTACATACAGTGGATGGATCTCAATCTAAATAAACAAGACAGATCAAAGGATATTATTGCCACTTTTCAGATAGATTAGAAGGGGAAACCAATGCTTCATTTGAGACATTGAATAGCTGAAGCATCCAGGCCTCAAAGAGACTGGGAGCTTGAGGCACTGCAGCAGAAGAGCCAAAACAAGGGAGGCACTTTTTTTTTAATTGGATAAATAAATTACTTTAGGTTGAACCTCTCTAGTATGGCACTCTCTTATCTGGCAACATCTGTGGTCTGGCATGATTTTCATTTGCTGAATGTCCATTTATCTTGGGTGTGGCTATGTTTCCTACTGTCCGGTAAATTTTGTTTACAGCCATCAGTCCTGGCTCTCAGTTTTCTGTGCTGTTATTTAGCTCTAATGTACCCCTAAATGTCTTCTAAGAGCCCAAAAAGCAGTGGAAGTTTTGGTAATGCTGCTGTACAATATTGACTCCTCATGGGTCCAGCAAATTCTGGTTTGGCACTGGTCAGATCTCAAGGGTGCCAGATTAGAGAGGTTCAACCTGTGCATAAAAAATAGTGTAGTCAAAACCTTCTTTTTCTATCGGAAAAACAGATTTGATGGAGAATGTTCAATCATACTTTTCAACTAACAAAAATACTCTCAAAAGTCAAAATAGCTATGTGGAATTTTCTTTCAATAGAGCAAGAGACAAACATTGACAATAATGCTGGGTGCAGGAACCTGAAATTTCTTCAGTTTTTGAGGACTGGTCAGCATGCCAAGATTTTCAAAAGTGACTGCATGATATCCCTTAGTGCCTGCAAACTGTACTGACATTCTGGATGCCCCAAATGGCCAAATCCTAAAATGGTGTGAACTGAGTAGCTCTGTTGAAGTCAATGTACTAATTGGACATGCTTCAGTTCATGTATTGATTTATGCCAGCTGAGCGCTCACCCACAAACTGTATTTTTGACTTCCTTAAATGTGAATAAAATGTTGGTAGAAATGCAATTAATTTTAGTGTCTCAATTGCAGAAAAAAGAACTTAAATTCAAGGTGGAATTCTGGTCTGGCCAACCCACGATGAAAGTTTCAAAAGGCGTCTCAACAATGTAAGATTCATTTGAAGTTATTACCATATATCTGAAGCTTCAGGGGGTAGCTGAATTAGTCTGTATAGGATACACTTAAAAAACAACAAATGGCCTGGTAGCACTTTATAGACTAATAAAACATGTGGCTCGTGGGCACAGCCCACTTCTTCAGATTACCAGAGTTTTCAGTTCTATCCCTTACACTGCAGATGTTAAGCATAACAAATCATATTGAATTATTAATGGGTGCTGTGTGTTGTTAATATCAAACTTATTCCAAATTGCTTGAATCATTCTATTTTGGTCTTGTTGGAGATGGTCATGGTTTTTTTTATACTGTAGTGTTTTTATAGAAAAATAAACCAAAGCCTCCGCGTATGAGAGAAGTTAAGTAATAGCATTCTAAAGAACAGGGATCTTAATTGTCCCACTGGGAAATAAATCCATCAATGGTGCTTCATTCTTCCTAAATCTCGTGTTGTATTCTGACTTGCAAATAGGAGTGCCTTCAGTCTGGAGAGTAAATAGGACAAACATTACAGCTGAAACGCTTGTGCAGTTAAAATCATATAGCTGCACCAACTAGTTAGCATCTGCACAAAATTGTAAGTCAGATCAACACTAAATATGAAAACTAGCTTTTAGTAATTGATAAAGAAGATGCAGAATACTGTGATTAGTATTAGATTGGGATTAGTCTCACCATTTCAACTGTAAAAACCTCTTACAGTAGAGGATTGCCATTTCCATTAATGCTACTTTAATGATGTGTGGTATTCATTGGGAGATAAAATTACACATTCACAAAAAAAAGGAAAGAAAAACATTAAGGCTATGTCTACACTTGTAGCTTCTTGCACAAGAAATATGCAAATGAGGCTAAGCGTGGAATATCGCTGGGCCTCATTTGCATACCTAATGAGCCACCATTTTTGCAAAAGAAGCTCTTGTGCCAGAAGGAGCGGTCTACACTGACCCTTTTTGCGCAAGAAAACCCCTCTTGCGCAATGTCGTTATTCTGGGAAATAATCGGCATAGTGGCATTGCGCAAGAGGGTTTTTCTTATGCAAGAAGAGCATAAGACTCTTTCAGAAAACCCTTAGGTCTTGAGTGGGATCAACAATTCCATTAGAGGAAGCGAATTGTTCACCCAAGGATCAGCATTGGTGGGCTCTGGAGAGGGGAGTCATTACCACAGAGGAAAGGCAGCCATGATCTAAGTCTCTCATGAGAGACTGTAAGGGGAAGAATGGGGATGAGGACAGATATTTCACACTAGTGTCTGAGTACAGTAGAAATGTCTAGTTCTCTATACTAAATTTGTTTCATTTTGGCATGCTTCATATTCTGGCTGGTAATTATCTTCTCTTTTTTAGTTCCAGGTTTGATGGAGTGTCTCCTTATGCACTGCTAGCTAGGCTACGGAAGCAAAATGGGTAGATGAGTCCATCACTGATGTCTGTTTCCAGCTTCCTCATAAAGAAGCTCTGTTTGTCTCTGCTAATGACCCTCCATTCAGCCCTTTTATATACCTTGTTATAACACAGCAATATAACACTTGACAGGGTTGGCAACCAGGAATCGTGCTTGGATGAAAGAAGATTCACTAAATAAATCTGGATTTAATGCGAGAACTGAAGACATTATGGTCTTTAATGTATAGCCAATTTAGAGCAGCATCCTAGGGATGTTGCAATATATGTTATTGTAACATCTTTTCACCTATGAAAGAGTTCATCTTCAACAAGCATTTTATGGGCCACGAGATACCTCAAACATATTCAATCTAAAATGTTCATAATTATATGTAAAAGAGACTGTGGTGTTTGTCAAGTTAAGACAATATGATAATATAAATTAAGAACTTTTTAAAATTGAGAAGTTAATTGTAAAGGGCTGTTTAATAAATTATATTTAATCTTTTCAAACTTTCCATGTTAGTTTTTAAACTTGTCTTTTCTAAAAGCTATAGTATGTGTGTCAACGAGGGATGTGTAGCTGTCAGAATGTAAAAACTAATAAAAGAAAGTTCTTCTTCACACAGCGTGTAGTCAACCTGTGGAACTCCTTGCCAGAGGAGGCTGTGAAGGCTAGGACTATAATATAGTTTAAAGAGAAGCTAGATAATTTCATGGAGCTTAGGTCCATAAAAGGCTATTAGCCAGGGGATAAATGGCCTCTGTTTGTCAGAGGCTGGAGAGGGATGGCAGGAGACAAATCGCTTGATCATTGTCTTCTGTCCACCCTATCTGGGGCACCTGGTGCTGGCCACTGTCGGCAGACAGGATACTGAGCTAGATGGACCTTTGGTCTGACCCAGTACGGCCATTCTTATGTTCTTAATACAGTATAGGTTATTTTGGTTTTTATACAAGCATTGGATAGGTTCTTCTAATGGTCGTACAGATGATGACATTCTATGCATGTTTGCAGCATTCTCAGACTTTGGGAAAAGCCTCATGACTGCTCTAAATAGTTTTAGGCAAAGTAAAAGCTTACTTTCTATGGCACTTTATCATCATCTGTCTAGGAAAATAAATCAGTTGTTTTAAGTTTTGCAATAACCATATGTAGTTTAGAATTCTTACCTGACTTGTCAGAATGTTGTAATCCAGCTGTTTGTTTGTATTTTGAAGCTTTTCCAAAGTGAACTTTCTTTCTAGAGCCTGCCACTAAGTCTTAACTAAGCTACTACTGTAAGGAGCCAGAGTAATTGTTTCTGTACCCTTTCACTCCTGAGTGAGTCTCCCTGGCTGTTGTTTGGGAGGGAATAAACATCCTAGGACCTGTAACAGAACTGAGCTACTTTCATATTTGCTGTTAGGGTGTGTCTACACTGCACCATAACTCAAAATAAGATGCGCAATTTGAGCTATGCAAATTGCATATCTTATTTCAATACTATTTTGAAATAAAGCACTATTCCGAAATGTCCCTTGCTCTTTGTTGAATGAGGTTTACAGGGTTTGACTGCTGGCTAAGACAGAGCTCTGCCACTACAGCCTGGCTGAAAAGGCCAATTACAGCCAGCTGAGCAAGCCCATGCCTAAAGGGCTAATAGAAGCAGCTGTGGGCCTCATTCGCCAGAGGGCTAATTTAGGCAGTCAGAGGGGAAGGAGCCAGAGAGTGGCTGAGTGTGTGTGCGTGCCCCATCCAGAAGGAGAAGGTAGCTAAGTTAACTGCTGGGAAAACAAAACTCTGTAAATAGAAGGTGGTGGGAAGTTGGCACAAGCAATGAAAAGACACAGGTGATTCCACAATAGAGGATCTCCGAGTGATTTGTGGTTGAAGAAGGGGTCGCAGGGCAAGGGGTCTGGGCAAGGATCCTGCCACAAGGGACATTGGAATAGTGAGCCCAAAATAATGGGCTTGCTGTTAGGACGCAGGATAGCTATTTTGGGATACTCCGATATCCTGAAATAGTTTTGCAGTGTAGATGTAGCCTTAGTGGGCAGTGACCAGAATCCACTACCACACTGACTAAATTCAAACTAGGGATGGAAGAAACTACTTGAGTAGTCGACTACCCAATAAGTTTAGACTTATGGGGTAGTCAAGTCACTACTTGCTCTTCCCCTTACTGCCTCTGTATTGGAGGCAGCAAGTCGGGGAGAAAGCAGGAGCAGTTGCTGGAGGAAGCTGGCTTAAAAGCTGGTTCCCCCCGGCACCGTCTCCACAATGTGTGGGGGGAGGCAGAGCTGCAGTGGTCCCAGAGCCAGTGTGAGCCAGGAGCTAACCCTGTTACGGCTCTGCATTTTAAATGTAGAAAGAGCCTGGTGGCCTCTTACTATATTTAAACCGCAGAGCCACAATGGGGGTAGCGAGTACCCCCCATGACTAACTGAGTAGTCGATGGAAATTCGACTACTTCATTAGCTAATTAACTGCTACTTAACATCCCTAATTGAAACTACTGACCTAGATGCTCTGATGCAGTGCACCTGTGTACTCCCTCGCAGCTCTTCATCATGTTGTAATTGGAAGTATGATAGGGTAGTTTGACAGCCCTGAAGCAGCTGGTCAACTTGTTGATTTTCACATGGGAGAAGTTGCTTATACTAATGCTGGATGCAGTATACAACCTTAAAGAAAATTATTAGAAACCCATATATTTAAAGGAAGGGGACAACAAAATATTAACTTTGCTATATGATCACTGCAAATTGTATTGTAATATTTAAAAAAATCTTTAATCAACTTGTACTGATAGGCTAATTTTATGCAGCATGAGGAATGTATATTATGGGGCAAGCCAGCAGAAAACAGTGCAGAGACTAACTTATACCTAAATTACATTTGGCCTGGATGTCTTTATATGAATTTTGGCACTTGTACTTTCTGCAAGGAGCTGATTTTCCTGATATTTAGTCCAAATATGACAAGGGGAAGGCTTCATTCTTGTTACTCAGTGTGGAAGAATTAAGGGATATTATTTCCAGACCTAATTTATAAGGCAGTAGAATTTCAGCAGAGGAGCTGAAGAGTTGTGGTACATACAGGATACAAATTTAAGCAACTGATACATGGTAATCGGCAGTGGATTGTTGGGTGGTTGACAGTCTCTCAGCTGTTGATTAGAATGCTGTAGTATAACAGAGAAGCACAAACTCAGGGATTAGTCTGCACTGGAAGTGTAACTCTGACAGACCCCAGGCATCTGTGGGCAGAACTGAGCTTGGGATTAATGGAGTTTAGTGCATGAGCTAAAAGCCACCTGGCTATTAGAAAGTGAGGCTGTAGAGCAAGCTCATTCTCTAAGTGGTCTCAGTGCCATTAGATGTGGAAGGTCTGTGGGTTACAGAAACGCTACAGTGGTATTCTCCCCATGGCATTATAAAACCACTTTTGTGAGAGGAAGTAGCTAGATTGACAGGAGATGCTCTCCTACTGCCATAGTGCCCTTCCACAGCTGTTATGACTTTACTTCAGCCAGAGAGTTTATTTATACCCCCCAAGCAACATAAATTAGGCCAACAATCTGAAGTGCAGATAAATCCTCAGAAATACAGCAAGATATTGCTGCAGTGTAGCCTTCAACATTTAACGCCAAGATGAAGACAAGGTCATTTCCTGGGCTACAGGCCATGTTATAAAGCATTGTATTAATGGGAAAACTGTGGCACAGCTCAGATTACCATCCCTTGTGGAAGGCAGGGCTGTGACTGCTCAGAAGGCTATAAAATACTGTTTTCCTACTCTAGCTACCTCTTGTATTACAGAAAATAAATTGTCCAGTACAAGCTCTTTATTTCAGTCTTTATAGTATTATTGCTCCAGGCAACTCTAATCTGGTAGAGGGGAAAAATACACTCATTGGCTGTGTCTAGACTGGTAAGGTTTTCCACAAAAGCAGAACCTGCCAGCTGTCTACACTGGCCACTTGAATTTCCACAAGAACACTGAGTTCCTACTGTCTGAAATCAGTGCTTCTTGCGGAAATACTATGCTGCTCCCATTTGGGCAAAAATCCTTTTGTGCAAAGCTTTTGTGCAAAAGGGCCAGTGTAGACAACTCAGATTTGTTTTGCACAATAAAGCCCCGATCGCGAAAATGGCAATCATGGCTTTTTTGCAGAAAAGCGCATCTAGATTGGCACGGCCGCTTTTCCGCAAAAAGTGCTTTTGCGGAAAAGCGTCCGTGCCAATCTAGATGCTCTTTTCCGCAAATGCTTTTAATGAAAAACTTTTCCGTTAAAAGCATTTCCAGAAAATCATGCCAGTCTAGACGTAGCCAGGTGGGTGTTGCTATTTGAGTGGAATGTCCCATAGTCACTTTTGGGGGAAAACCCACCCTTTAGTCATATACCTTGAAAATTAACTTCAACCTGATCATTTAGTGCTGGATGCACTACGGACTTATAAATGATTAGAAACTCAAATTAAATGTAGGAGCCAGTGAAATATCACTTTATTAACTCCATGCAGAACTGAGAGCAGACTCCGCATTCAAGTAGTTTGTCACTTTAGAATTAGCCCACTGTAAGGTGCAAATGAAGTTTACCTTGTGGCTAGTCTGGTAATTAATTCATACAGTGGCTTACAGTGCTGAGGATGATTAAATGTTTGAACAGGCTTAGTTTAGGGGGAAAAAAAAGTTGACTCTTTGCATGAATGCTAGCATTGTAAACCACATCCCACTACTTGCTCTGCCCACTACATGTCAATCAGGTAGCATTTTCTCTTCCATTTCCCATTGGGGGGACATGATAGCCATTTTCAGGTATCTAAAAGGGTGTCATAAGGAGGAGGGAGAAAACTTGTTCATCTTGGCCTCTGAGGATAGAACAAGAAGCAATGGGCTTAAACTGCAGCAAGGGAGGTTTAGGTTGGACATTAGGAAAAAGTTCATAACGGTCAGGGTAGTCAAACACTGGAATAAATTGCCTAGGGAGGCTGTGGAATCTCCATCTGTGGAGATATTTAAGAGTAGGTTAGATAAATCTATCAGGGATGGTCTAGACAGTATTTGGCCCTGCCATGGGGGCAGGGGATTGGACTCAATGACCTCTTGAGGGCCCTTCCAGTCCTAGTATTCTATGATTTCTTCTAAAAGAGATTGTGATTGAAGTGTATACTTCTATTAGTAAACAGATGTATTTAAATAAAGCTTAAAGCAGCATCCCCTGCGTGTCTGTACCTTATAATTATTTGACCAAATTCTAAGCTAGTTTCCATCCCCTTGGAGGACTCAGCCTGTGGCTCCTTTTTCATTTAGTAAATGGCTAGTCCACTCAAGAGGAAAATGTTTGCTTAGAAAAAGGACCTGGCAATCTGAACTCTCCAGAGGGTATACTGTTATTAAGCATACCTGCAATGCCACAACACGTTGTTTCAAAATGGGGCAGGCTCTATAGTGACAATCATTTGCATTGTCCCTAACAATGCACAGACAGAGGAACTTGATCTGGTCTAACTGTTGGAGTTAAATTAGGATCTGCTACATGGAAACAGCTAGTAAATATTGAATTGTTCCTTTTTCTGTCCACTTGGTCAGTCACTCTAAACTTGGAATT